CTAACTTTTTTCACTATTGCAAAATAATTCCTTCGGCGAAAAATGTTTAATGAGTTTTTGTCTAAACTAAAAATGAAATAAGAATTTAAAAAAAAAATATATTTTGGTGAAATGTTAAACTATTAACCGAGAAAAATTTCTAGGTTTATATTCATATAAATAGAATCGGAAACTAAATTTGTGTTAATACAATAAAAGATTTTGGGATCTTTTATTTGAATAGCTTTTAATTGAAATTAAAATATTGCATATTGTCATATATAATGCAATTTACAAATATTATAATATATAATATACAACTATATAATAGATTGAGTATCGCCAAAGCATTAAAATCATTGAAAGTCGAGACAATCAAAGTTGTTGGTGAGCAAAGGGAGCAGATGTTGCACCTTCCTGATGTCTTCAATGATAATAAAATAAATAATATTTTTACGCAGTTTTGCAATAAATACGCATAATGTAATGTTTCGAAATTTAGTTTAAATGGGGAAAATACGCCATATTGCAATAGTACGCCCTACGAGGAAAGGGTTATTTACGCCAAAAGTAAATATCCCTTTTCACTGGAAATTATACCTTACCCAGTAACGCAAAGTTTGAATTACTAATTACAAGAAGTTTGCCGAGTGAATGGAAAAGGTGAAAGAAAGGATGGAGGGAAGGGTGTTGATTGATTGCGCTCCATTATGACACTCAAAGTGTTCTATAAGGTTGTCCTTCTGAATGCCTGATGAGTGAACAAGATAGCTTATTAATATACATTTAGTGAAGAATGTCAAGTCTATGTGGTAAAATAATTGACTGCGTTCTTTAATTAAGTTGTTTGTCTCTTCAACTTGTGGAAAAATTCTTAGAAATTGGAAATTAATGATTTGAAAAAACGAATGAATATTTTAATTTGTCACATACTAAATTTTACAGAAATTTTTTTTCAGCTGTTATTGTATTATTTATCAGAGGCAATTTTTATTTTAATATTAATTCCTACTGAATGTTCTGAATATATATTCTAGAAATCCTTTCAACAAGTTAATAAAATGTGTAAAAAATACTCATCTTTGAGTTTGTCAATTAACATTTAAGAAGTGAAAAAAAAAACACAAAAAATATTACACTATAGCGAATCATTAGTGAGATTAATAGACAGGGTTAGTTCTACCTCACCTCGCGAAGTCACCATCGACGCCTTCTCCAACTGGTTCCTATATTAAGATGGAGCCCTGCTCTAACATGGCGTTTACCGTTGATCATCAAGTGACGTATGTTTTTCATTGAATTTTAATAACAAAATTGTTCATTTAAATATATTAAGGATCTGGTTTGGATAGAAAATATTTCATTGATATAATATATTTGATATTGATTGATATGATATCATGTTTCAATTTTTATTTATTTTATTTATTTATTTTTTCTCTTTCACTCTCTGCTTCTCTTTTTTGCCATTATTTTCCATTTTACGTTGACAACTTTAAGTTTTCTGTTTCAAACTACTCTTTTTTTCCTCATTCACGTCTGGTAAGTCTTGAGAATGAATTTTATTTCAATCTTCATATTTTTCAATCAAAGAAAGTTTTTAATAAAGTATATTGCACCCCTTGCACGTTAGTAAATAAGTTTCTCTGCAATAGAAATCTCATTGATAGAAAAACATTTACCTAGTTACAGAAAATGAAATGCTAAGGCATAGCAGAAAGTAAACCATGAAAAAAATAAGACACCTAGGAATAGATTTGGGAAAAAAAATAATAGAATTAAAATTAAGAAATAAATTGGAAAAGCAAACAACAAAATGAATACATTTGTATAAAAATTTACAGGCGTGTTTTAAGCAATTTTAGTTGTAAAAATTTATTATGATTTTTTTAAACCATCAGATTTATTTCGAAAATATATCTTTATCTATTACAGTAAAATTTCAGTTTTATGAATTTAAACTATAAAAATTTCCTTATTCGTTTTTAAAAGTCATTAAACTTATTTTACAAATATATAGCTATAACTTTGTATAGTAAAATTTTAATTTTATGAACTTTTAGAAGCAAACATTTCATAGTACTTTGTTTAAACCATCAAACTCATTTCATAAATATGTTATTTTGACCTATTATAGTAAAATTTTAATTTTAAGAACTTAGTCACGAGTTTCTTTTTCCGCAAAAGATGACTATATTAGTAAGATATTCGTAACAATAAAAATCAATACAGATGAAATTACTTCATCCATTTTCAAGCAATGCAATAATAAATTTAAATATTTATCAAGATAAAAATTAAATTTACAATAAGACTAATAAAAAGAAGCAGATCTTCCGATTCTTTTGCTATATCAAGCAATGTTTTAAAATTTACATAAATGCTAATGAAGTTGGGAAAGTAAAATAAGATATTTCCATTGCTTAAAAACTGAAATGGAATTTTGTTTATTTTTCTTCAGCATTGCAAATTTCATTTTGGCTGACAGTGTGTCAAAAAGAGTTTAGGTATGACGTTAAAGTTTTGATGAGAAAACTTCTAAGCAATTTTGATATTTCATTTCATTTAAATATTTCATTTTTAACATTATTTACAGTATTGTTCAATAAGTTCTTTACATTTAACATCCTTGACATTTTAGAAGCAATTTAACTGAAATTTATTAAATTTGTAAGAGTGTTCTGAATTATTTAAACTTTTAGAATTCGGATTTGTGGTATCCTCATCATGATTATTAAAGAAAATATTAAGCATGTGAACTTTTTTGCTTAAAATTTTTAATTTTAGTTTTTTAGACAAGCATTTTTAATTTAATGCTTGTCCAAAACTTAATTTTCTAATTTGATTTGCAATTTTAGTGTTTTTGTTAAGGGATAGGTAAATATATTAGTTAGTGGAAACGTGAAACTTTTTATACCGTATGATTTAATTTTTTTTGGATATTTTTTAACGTAAATAAACGAAATGCAATTAAGCTATATATATTTTTTGCATAAAAATGTCTTTGAAATGTTTTAAATAGTTCATAAATATTTCGATAATGGTAATAATATGCTAAAAGAGTTAAATGCTCGATCGCTCTCATAACTAAAACTATTAAAATCCTTTTCTGACTGCGGTTTCCCGCACTTCAACAATTAAAGCTCAAAGCACATCAACTAGATGTCCAGTGCTCAAAATAAAAGAATGAACCACCTAAAATAACTTTTGATTTAACAATTGGATCTGCACGTTATAAGACTCATTCTTAATGAACTCATTCTTAAGACTCATTCTTAACGAGTAGGTGACCTCAAATATGCTGATAATTAAGTGAAAACGATATTTTAAGTTATGAAATCAGGTAAAAAAAATGTACTTTCTTTGAATGAAAATACTTTTTTAATAACGAGATCAAATTTTTGACAACCGTAATCTGGAAAATATGGTTCCAATAGTTAAGACAAGAGAGCGGTCCAAAGTATCAACCCCTTAATGTTAATTTTATGTTTGTGTATTTCTCCATATCTCGTGAACTTTTTAAGTGAATCATAAAACAAAAGCAAAAAAGTATAAAATTCGATCGAAATCAGTCGAATAGTTCCAGAGAAAGCAAATTTTAAAAAAATACGACTTCGTTGAAATACGATTTCTCAGGAACTATTCGACCGATTTCTCTCAAATTTGAATTTTTAAATGTGAGATTGCTTTATTTAAAATGACGTATAAAATTACATAATATCGGATTCAAAACTTTTTCGACAATTATTAAATAAAATAATAAATATTTAATGAAATTTATTTTCGCATGGAATTATTTTTGAGCAAACTAATATTATAGTTGCGTGCAAAGATTTTCCAATTCGCTCAAAATGTTCAAGAGATGTGACAAAATACGCATAGAGGTTCAAATTTTTGTCAGCTTTCCTGACTTAAATATTGGGACCATATTTCCCAGATTGCGACTACCACTATATTTTGGGAATCAGAAATTTGAATCCGTCGATAAGAAGGTATATTTATTCAGAGAAAGTAAGTTTTTCTTGGCCGATTTTGTAATTTAATATATCGTCTGCACTTATTAATTAGCATGCTTGAGGTCTCCTCCTCAAACTATCAAGATTGGGTCTCAGAACGTGAAGATCCGATCATTAGATCAAAAGTTTTTCGTGTTGGTTTGTTTTTTATTTTGGGAACTGTACACAAAACTCATATAAAGCATCTTTCATTAGATGAAATTTTTCATTAATTACTGTATTAATTGTTTTAGATAATTCTTTGCATATATTCATAACTGGCCTTTAAATTTTAGAGCCATATTAGAGTAATTCAAGAATTCTTGACATATTAATTTTGTTGCATGATTGATAAAAAATTCCTTTAATAATTTTTAATTTAACGATAGGTTTTTAGCATAAAGAGGTCACACGGAATGATATTTTATAATGGTATTTAATGCATGAATGGTATTGAACAATATTTATTTATTGATATATTAAATGAATGCAATAGTAAATTTACGTTAATTTAAGTAGCCAGTTTTGTACTAAAGAAGCTGAAAAAAAAACTTTAAAAAAAAACAAAAAAACATGATCTTATTTCTGAATTAGATTGCATTATGCTTATTCGCTCTGTTTACACACTGTAAAATTATCAATTATAAAAATAATAGAAATTATTCAAAAACTACCCTTAAAATATTTCGCTCTTTCCGTTTCAGATTTGCTATACACATTTATTTCAATTACAGAGACAATTATTTTGACAAATTTATTTAAATTACATTGTTAAGAAAATTGACTTAAATGATGAAAAATAATAATGAAAAATAATGAATAGTATAAAGAAGTATAGTATTTTTATTCGAAAAAAGGTTTATTCAGTCCTTATCTTCATAAATTTTCATCTTATATTCTCCTCAGCGCTGATTTTGCACTGTTGACTCGCAAATGTTCGTAAATTATCTGAGTCAGTAATAATTAATGTTTTTTTGCCCTCATTTCAGGACTCCATTTTAGTGAGTTTTTTATTTGCTCTCATGTCACGCTCAGAAAATAAAATGCGTAATGAATTGATCACTTTATTTTTCATTGCAGAGACCAAGTATTAAGGTTCTTATTGTATAAGTGTGAATGCATAAGCTTTTCTTTTCGGAATCAGTTTCTTGTGTGAGTTTATTGATAACTTAAGGCGCGCCTGAGATTTCTAGATAAATTAATACCTGAAATTTCTTTCTTTAAAAAGCATTCGATAATAAACTTACCAAAATACAATAAATGATAAAGCATTTATATACAGCTACTACCTGCGTATTATTTAGTCAAGGTGTATTGAAACTAATTTGAAAACGTTTGTTTAAGGAGCTGAAAAGTTAAGAAAAGATAATTGATATTTCATATAAGATTGGAGAAGAATAAAGGTAAGTTCCGATTCTCTCTCTCTCGAATTTCATGCATTAAGGCATTAAGTGTAATAAGATAATAGTGAAAGCGAAAGCATAAGCTTTTCCTTATCATCAGATACAGTTTCTTGTGTATTGTTTGTTATGAGTAAATTAAGAAGAATATATATATATAT